GCCCCGCGGGAGGTGCTCGCGCTCACCTGGCCGGGCGCCCCGGGGCCGGGGTGAGAGGGGCCGGGCCGGCAGGGAGGGTCTCGCCCCCCGCGCCCCCAGGCACAGGCAGAGGCCTGGCAGCTTCGCCCGGGGAGAGGTCGTGGCGACCCGTAGAGCCTCACCTCTCGGCAGGCCCACGCCCACTTCGGGCTCCCCGGCCCTCCTTGTGGGCCTGGTACCCTGACCCTCATGTCCCTCGCCCAGCGGGGAAACTGCCACCTGAGAGGGAAGAATGGAGCTGAACCGCTTCTTGGTGAGCCGAGAGATGTGTTTGGGGGCATTTGGTGCAGGGATCCAGACTGTGCAGGTGATAAACATAAGCAAGGTTCGGCCCTCCCCGGGGTGTGGTGTCAGACTAAGAAGATGTCCGGGTGCCCTCGTGGCTTTTTCAGTGTTGGCACCACGTGGCTTTGGGGTGCAGGGCTTGGTGCCCCCCACAGCCACCCTCCATACCTGGCTCGGGGCTCTGGGGATACAGGGCCCCCGCTTGACAAAGCCGGGGGAGCCCCGCTGCAGCTCACACTTCTCTCCAAGTAGAGTTCTGGGGAGTTTTTCAGAGTGATTCATCTTAGGTACTTGACTGTTTTAAAGCCACGAGCTGTCGCTGGAGGTTCCCTCTGAATTTTTAACCTCAGTCTGGCAGGAGGTGATCTGACAGTTCAGAACACCGCTCACTGGGAGTCCCGGTAGAACGCAGGGAACGTGGTTAGTAGAGACCAGACTAAGCCCCCCGCACACACACAACTCTGCTACCTAGTGTAGAACTTACTTACGGCAGCCCAGCGCCTTTGGGTTCATCCCCGGGCCCGTTTTTTAAAATTGTATTATTGCGGCTTAAGGAGTTAACATTCTTGGTTTAGACTTCGCAGTCCAAGGCCGATGTGAACATCTCAGGATCTCTGTCATTCTGCCAGGGCAGCTTGAATAACGAGCACAGCAAGGTGGACCCAGGCCCCGGGCAGTGCAGAGGCCCTCTCCCAACCCTTGCCATCCCCACTGCTCTGTGACTGGGGAACCTCCCCACAGGGTGATGTTCTGGGAGAGGCTGTGGCCACGGTGAGATACCAGGGTCTGAGAACTGGCAGGTAGCTCAACAGGCTCCCTCCAGCATCCGAGCTGTGACCCAGGACAGTTGTGAATTCACTGCAATTAACTGTCTTTGGTCTGAGGATTAACTTTTTCCAAACTTGAATTTCGAGCCCTTAAATTCATGCTCTTTCTTTAAAAAAAAAAAAAAATATATATATATATATATATATATATATATCTTTACTAGCTGAAGCTTCAACCACTGAACTAGATGTTTCTGATTTTTTTTACCCTGGCAGTCAAAAGTCTTTTTCAGAAGTGAGCAGAGGATGCCCAGGGGGGATGAAGACATAATCCCCGAAATGCTTCTCAAACGTTGCCTGCTGTGTCGTCCCACTGAAACTGGCCTTGAGAATTTCAAGGAATTACAATAAATGCTTTTACAGTACAGTTTCACTCTTTGGGCACAAATCCATAATAGCGAACGGCTTGCTTCTGAATTTGTGGTGCCCTCTGGTTAATTGCTGGTTGCACCTGCTTGGGCATGTCTGCACCTAGGTGGCCGGCCACGCTTTCTTGGAAAGGACTGTGGTGTGTAAACACAAGATGATATGCTTGTCGGGACAGAAGCTCCTGGTAGAGGAAGATCCATGTTGAAAGCAAAGCAGATAGGCCAGTTCCAGTCTACCCACTGACGTTGCAAGGGTGGTGACAGCCTCGTGTGGTACTATTATGGGGTGGAAATCCGTTTCCCTGTTCATATAAATGCTGCAGAGCTGTTCTCTTGCATCTCAATTGCTCTGCATTCCAATTTTTGGGAGGGGGTGCGGGTGGTCAGGGGAGATGGGAAAAACTGGTTAGGGATGAATAGTTATGTGACGTGTCATATTTTCTAAGTGACTCTTCACCGAGTACACCATGTTCCCCTCTGCAGTGGTGGTCCCTGACCTTTAGTGGAGAGGCTGTGTGTGAGCAGGCCTTCCAAGTGTTCACAAGACCGGCCCAACAGATCTGCTGGTGCAGCCACCTTTGGTCTGAGATGCCAGGGCCAGAGTAACGACAAGGATGGAAAAGGGCGCAGGACAGTGTTTGGGGCAGCTTCTCTGCTGATTAGCTAGCCAGAGCGATCCGAGCCCATAAGACTACCTGACAGATACGCGTTTGACATTTCTAAATAAAAAAGCTTTAGTATAAGGGACTCTTTTGGGATGTTTGGGGAAATCGTTTTTTAACTGCTCACCTCACGTCACTTTTTATTTCAGGAGCTTGTTTTTCGCATCAAGAATGCAATGACCCGCGAAGTCTCACTAGGCTTAGATTCACATAGTCATTCTCTTTAACCCGCGAAGAAGCACGTGCGGACTTGATCTCCTTGGCACCTCTTGACAGCCTTTGCTATAAAATCCCGCTTCTCTTGCAGAGAAGATGGAAGGCCCGAGTAGGAGCGCAGGACGGGGAGGGACGCCGGCACGTGCTTCTGCATGAGCGCGGTGCCCATGGCTCAGAGCGGTTCCTAACTCGGTCTCCACAGCCCGCCTCCCCTGCAGCTGAGCATGCCGAGGCCTAGGAGGCATGAGTGACCTGCCCGGCGCCCCCGGCTCGCCGGGCCTCAGCCTCTGACCCGGCCCTCTGGACTCTGGCCCGGCGGGCTGTTTCTCCGCGGCCGCGTGTACCAACAGAGTGGCGTCGGACCAACGTCCTCTCTTTCCTCTCAGGATGTGAAAGGGGCAGAAAGACAAAGAACCGCCTCTCTGCACATCCCTCCCCGTCTGCTAGAATGTTTCTCATGAACGCCCCTCCTGTGGTTGCTCTCCAGTCAAAATGGGAGGCCTTTGGCACACCGGGGGGCTTTAGGTTTCCCGGGTGCTTCTCGGAGCCGAAAGAGGGCGTCTCGAGAGCTTCGGTGAGTGCCAAAGTGCAGATGGTCATCAGCACGCTCCAGAGGGACGAGGCTGCTCTGGGCATGAGCGATGAGCTTGCCCTGCAGAGAAGCCAGAGGGCAGAGAAGGGCCGGGACACAAGGCCGGCCGCCACCCCTGCATTTGCTGCCTGTGGTCTCGGTGCTGATTTTGTTCCCTCGAGGGAGGAGGAGGCTGCAGACTTTGGCCCCTTGGTGCTGGATTCGGACAGTGACGACTCGGTGGACCGGGACATTGAGGAAGCGATCCAGGAGTACCTAAAGGCCAAGAGCGGGGCCGCCCAGCCACCTGGGGCCACAGATGGGGGCAGGCGGTCCAAACCAGAAGTTCCTCTGAGTAGTGCCCCAACTGCCCCGTGTCCCCCGAAGTTTGCACCCAGCTCAGGAGGCGCCCCTGGCAGCCACGTGGGAGCGGGCCAGGACCGGGGCTCCGCCTCCCCGGTTAGCGTTAGCAGTGACGACTCCTTCGAGCAGAGCATCCAGGCGGAGATCGAACAGTTTCTGAACGAGAAAAGACAACAGGAGACCCCAAGATGTGATGTTTCCGTGAACACGAAACCAGACCCCAGCGATAATGCAGCCAGATCAGCATTTAGATCCAGCAAAGAGCCAATGGCCAAGGCACATCGGCAGGAAGTGATGGGACCCTGCAAGGACTTTCTCTTCCGGAAACCTCCCAGGCTAGCGAAGGTGAGCACACGGCCCCGTGGCCTCAGGTCCAAGGCCACTGCTGAGCCGGAGAGTGCGGACGGCGCGAAGCCAGCCACTGCTGCTGGCCGTCCTGCAGAAGCAGCCCAGAATAAAGGTGCGGTCAGGAGGAGCGCCGGGCGGAGGACGAAGCGAGCCAAGAGCACAGCCCTGGTGTGCAAGGCGTCCGGCTCCAGCAGTGACGATGGCATTGAGGAGGCCATCCAGCTGTATCAGCTGGAGAAGAGGAAGGAGGCGGGCAGAGACCCGCCGCAGAGAACGCCACTCGGGGAGGGGAAGGGGCCCGACCCTCCGGCACACAGCGCAGGCCACTCCACGAAAGGTGCTTTGCCCGAAACCCATAGGAAGACACCAGGCAGGAAGAAGCAGGTGGCCCCGAAGGCCGTGGACCTCAGCCCGGGTGGCCCTGACCACCCCTCCAAGCCACCCAGAGATCCCAGAGCTGCCGAAAACGAGCTTGTGGATCGGCCGCCGTGCCGGGCAGACACGTCTGCTGAGCTCATGTGCGCCGAAGCAATCTTGGACATTTCTAAAACCATCCTGCCGGCCCCCGCGGGGGGCAGTGAGAGACCCCCGCCTGCCAGCCCGCTCTCCTGCCCCCTAACCGTGCCTTCCTGCTGCGACGGGGACAGCAGCTCTGTGGACAGCAATGACAGCATAGAGCAGGAAATCCGGACATTCCTGGCTCTGAAGGCTCAGTCGGGGGCTTGGCTGGCCCGAACGGAGAGCTGCCCGCAGACCACACTGAGCCCAGTGCCGCCACCTGGCCCTAGGGTCCCCGGCTCTAAAACGCTGGGCCTGTCGCTGAGCTGCAAAAGGAAACGCAAAGGAGGCAGCCACGCTGTGCCACCATCCACACCTAAGAAAGCTAGAGAGACGGCGCAGGAGGGCGCCCGGGATGCCGACCACAGCCCCGTGAGCACACAGCCTGGCCAGGCCCCCAGGGCGGAAAGCCAGACCAGGGGCCAGCCTCTCCCCTGCAGGCCGCTTGAGCTGGGTGACCAGCACGGTGGCCCTGACACCAGAGGCAGCGTGTGGCCCGGCCATGGGAAGGCAGCCCCAGCCAGAAGCGCCGGTGAGCGGGGGAGCTCTGAGGACAAGAGCAGCTCCCTGGACAGCGACGAGGACTTGGACACTGCCATCAAGGACCTGCTGCGGTCCAGGCGGAGGCTCAAGAAGAGGTGGAAGGACCCCAGGGCCGCGTGCAAGAGGAAGGTCAGGTTCAGCACCACTGAGCCCCAGTTCTTGGATAAACTAGGCAGCTTCCGGAAAGACTGGAAGGACAGAAGCCCCCATCTGTTGAAAAGCTGCCTCTCAAAGCCCAGAAAGGACAGCAGGGAGAACCTGGCGAAAAAGCCTTTGAGCGTCTCCTGCAGAGACACAGAGAGAACCAGGACCGATGGCGCCAGCCCCAGGGATGCGCCCCCCGCCCCCCAGCTCAGGAGAAAAGCCTCCGAAGGGAATCCGTTCTGCCGTGAAGCCGACGCCTGTGAACTTCAAGGTGCAGCCCCCAGCTCCCAGCCTCCGCCCGAGGACAGCAGCTCCGTGGACAGTGATGACAGCATCGAGCTGGAGATCAGGAAGTTCCTGGCCGAAAAGGCCAAGGAGTCCGGGAGCAGCTCAGAAGCCCCAGGAGGGGGCCCAGCCACCCCGGGGACGGGGAGCATGCCCAGGCCGGAGCTGCCGTGCCGGAAGGGGCCAGCACCCGCCCTGGCCCTTCACCCCGGTGTGTGCACGCGGAGCCAGCGGGGCAGGGGCGGGCCTCAGCCGGCCGGAGGCCTGGGGGACGCGGGGAGAGCCTGCCTTCCGGGCGGGAGGGGCGGCCCCCGCGCAGAGCAGGCCTGCCTCCCTGCAGCCAGGGCCAGCCGCACCAGCGTGGCGGGGGCCCTGTATGCCAAAGGGCCGGCTGCTGGCCGGCGACTGGTTTGCACTCACAAGGATCAGAGCCCGAGAGGGACCGAGCATGCCAGGGAACATGCTGTCGGCTCGCTGGCCTCTCGAGCTCAAGCGGGCACCTGGGCAGAAAGCGCCAGCGTGGGCTTTGCTGTGACCACACGGGGCCAGAGCCCGCGGACTCGGAAGCCGGGAGCAGACGGGCTGGGGAGCCCCCAGGCTGGCCTTGCCCTCCCGTGGGCCGACTTTGCCCACCAGAGTCGGCTGCAGAGCACGTGGGCGCTGAGCTCGGAAGGCAGGGAGGCTGTGTGGAGAGGGAGCCTCGGGGGCCAGAGAGACCAGGGGCCGGAGGGCCAGGACCCCAAGAAAGGCCTGCCCTTCACAGGCTTCTCCTCGCTGCTCTCCACACAGCTATTCCACTTTGGAAAGAGTGCCTCCTGGGGGGGCAAGCAGGCCAGTGTCTTCAGCCCGCCCCTGAGTCTGCCCCTGCAGGGCCCATCCTTCTCGGCCTTCAGAGAGACCCCGGCTGGCCACAGTCCCGTGTTTGGAAGCTCGCACCTGCTCGCGAAGAAGGAGGGGGGACACTGGCCCGGCCGGAAGTCCCAGGCGGCTTGCACTCTGCACGCCAGGAGGAACTCAGGCTCTGAGGAGGACGTTCTAGACCTGAGGTACAGGCGGAGGGCCATCAGTGGAGGCGACGAGGCCCAGGACGCCTTGGGCAGTGAGTCCAGTGAGCTCAGTGACACCTCCGTGGAGGAGGGCGGTGGCCCGGGGGCCACGGGCAAAGCCCTCCAGCCGTGAGGACGCTCGCTGGCTCCGTCTTCATGGGAAGCAGACAGACACGCGTGTATCCGTGTGTGCGCGTGACGCTCACCACCCCGGGACAGAAACCGGAGGCCACTCTGCACCGCCCTGTACATACTACGTCCACTGGGAGCCATGGTGTTATTTAACGAATGTGTCCTGGAAAATATGATTTTTGTAGCTTTTTTGTAAATTATTTAAAGTGCTGTAAAAAATATTTTTGGAAAATACAGTTGTTCGGTTTTGTAGGGCCTGCCTAAAGGCAGCTTTCCACGGCATCCGGGTGAGTGTTAGACGAGCAGACATGTGACCCCAGCTCTGATAGTTTGGGGCGATTGCTGCTGGGAAGGTGGCAGTGGCCACCGACCCGCCCCGAGAATCACAAAGGCGCCCGCAGAGGTCTCCGCTGGGAAGCTGCCGGTCAGCACCTGTGACATTGGGGCCCCCGGGCCCGCGAGGCCAGAGCGAGGCTTCTGGACGCTACACTTGCAAGACATCTCAAAGCACAAAGGCCAGCAAGCACACAGACTGGCCGACCCCTGTTGCACGTGGAAATGCCCCGGGAGGCCTCGGCAGCCCGCCCAGTCCACACCCAGCCCGTGGTGTTCCACGCCCAGCCCAGCGCGACCCCCGCGGGATTCTAGTAGCTCAATAAAGCTCTTTTTCTATGGGAGCCACTGTTCTCCAGTTTTAGTCACAGTTCCGAAGGGTAACAGACAAGGTGTGTGTATAAACGTCCCTTTCTTGATCTGGGTGTGGGAACACACAAGGCTCGAGCCACCTGACCAGTCCTGGTGCCCAGACACCTCTAGAGCCCAGGGCGAGGCCCAGCGCCCTCCAGGGACCGGGGCCTCATCGAGGGGTGCTCTCACAACCCAGCGGTCATGCTGGCAGCTTTCCGAGGGTCTGCCTCCCCCCCGGCAGGACCGGGGCCGAGCCCTGCGGGGTGCGTGGTCGTGGGCAGGGCGCCAGGCCTCGCGCTGTGTTAGAGCCGGGCCGCGGTGCCTTGCCGGGTAGAGAAGAGCACAGCTTCCTGTGCCTTCTGCTCAGAGGCTGCTGTGGGGACAGGAGGGGTGCAGCGTCCCCTGGGGCGGACACTCAGCGGCCACGGAGTTGCTGCACAGCTGTCTGGCAAACTTCCATCGGTGACCCCGGGCTTTACGACTCCCCCCTGCAATTTAGCTGTGATGGACTGGGAGCAAGGTTGACCTTGCAGCGGGGTTTAGCTGGTGCTCGAACATGCAAGTGAACTTCCTGGGGTTTGGCAGCATGGTACCTCTGCGCCCCACCTGCCGGGCGCCCGCGCCCCACCTGCCGGGTATCCGCGCCCCACCTGCCGGGCGCCCACACAGGTGCATTTGCCAGCACCCTTCTGGTTCTTACACTCACTTAGGTGCTTCCGGGAAAAACAGTTCAATGTGTGCCATCCATGCTTTAAATTTTATTTAGTTTTTAAAGAGCGCTCTTAACACTTGAAAACAAAAATCAGCCTGTTTTGTACATAAGAACTGGGTTTTTAAAACGCTAATAAATCCAGCACAGTTCCTGAATCAGCTCACGCAGCTCGTCTTCCCTGGAGTGGCCTTTGTGGGATGATGCCAAGAGGGTCCACACGTGCATTTAGCCCTGAGCACCCCTCGCCCCTGCTGGGTCTCCCCCAGACCCGGCACCCTTCGCACGTGCTTCCTTCCTGCCCCCCGGGTTCCTGCCACCCCCGCCACGCCGACCCCCATGCGTCGTGGTTACTGGGCAGTGCGGGCACTGCTGTTCACATGCCTTGTGTTCACACTTGCCGGGCATAAGCCTGCTTGTGCTGGCCCGTCCCTGGGACCACTGACACGCTCCTGCTTCTGCACCCACACCCGAGCTCAGCTCTGGCGCACGCTGGGGCCAGCCCAGAGGCACCCCTGCACCCTGTCTGGAAGGGGGGCTGCGGTGGGGTGAGCGAGTGGGGCCTGGCACTGCAGCCGTGAACAGCAGAGTCCTGGCAGCCGCTGCATGGGACTCTAGGTGTTCACGCACCTGTGCCAGTCGGAGGGATGACATGTTACCAAGTCAAACTGTGATCCTTAAGAGGCTTGTAATCCTTAATCACTTCCCAGGGAAGGAGGGGTCGGTGTGTCCGGGGCTATAGGCTCATTCATTTAATGCAAAGAAGGGGAGGGGCCTGATTTTCAGTAGGTCATCCTGGGACTCACTGCGTCTCTCTGGACAGAACGGGCACAGGTGGAATGGAGGTGTGAGGGGAGGGAGGGCCCTGGCGGGTAGTGTGTGATGCCCACCACCCACATCTAGAGAGGGAGGGTCTTCCACAGACAAGGCTCCGAGTCTGAATTGTCAGCAGGTTTTCCCAAGCTGAGACGCACTTGCGTGGGGAAACCAGGCCCTACGCTTAAGTTGCTAGCCCCTTTCCTGCTCCTATACAAATATGAAAGCATTGCGACCTTGATTTCCCCGTCCCTCAAAATTAACTGAAGGGCCTGCTGAAGGGACCCACCATCCACGTCTGCAGATCACAGCCAGGTCTCCTCTGAGGGAGGCTGACCGGGAGCGGGGAACGGTTTGTTGTTTGCAGGATCTTCGGGGCTTCTGCTCTGCTGTGCTCTGGACGAAGAGATGTTCCCCCGTGTTGACGAATTTCCTATCTGGAACTTTATTCTAAGTCGCTATAACTGAGAGGCGAAAAGCTACTGAAGACAAGTCTACAGGCGTACGTGAAAACACGTGTCCAGTGTTGGAAGTCTCTGCTTTCCACCCCACCTACAGCCATGCTGAGTGACGAATTAGTGAGGTCTTCTGAAGCCCTATTTCTCAGTGTTTCCTCTCATGGTGGGAAAAATCGGCCTCACACAGCCGGGCCTCCTCAGGGGAGAAGACTGGCTCTCCTGGCCTCGCCGTCTGGGGATGCTGTGCTCACCTCTTTGTTAACGGTTCTGACCAGCGAGGAGTTGGAGAGATGTCAGGACCCAGGCCAGAGAGTGGCGGGAGTCCTTCCCACCCCTCAGGCCCCCGGGGGAGCAGGCTGACTGCGAGCCCAGGACAGGGGCCTGCAGCCCTCCATAAGACCGCCCATTCGCATACTCTTCTCCCTGCTCCATGCTAAAGATTCCAGGAGGAAAACATGCCAAAAAGATCCATTCATCATCATCGGAGCTCCTGTAAGACTTGTGTGCAGAGTCAGGGCCAGGACCGCGGGGTCTGATGCCTGCGGCCACGCCTCCCTGGGGACACCCCAGGTGGGCTCCAACCCAGGGGCTGCAGGGCCCGGACTCACCCCAGGGGATGATGTCAACATCCTCCAAAACCCTTAGTGGGCAGACAGGAGTGCGGCCACCCCGCAGCTCCAGGGCCCCGGCCCCAGGACGCAGATGCCAGGAGCCCGAGCCGGAGATGCTCCTGGGCTTTTGAGAAGACGGGCATATATGTTCTATCAAAGTTACCTCTGTTTTCCATCTTCCCAGACGTTTATTCTATGGAGAGGATTCCATTTAGAATACACGTAGCTTTACCTCGTTAGCAGCACTGACAGAGAGCGCAGTGTATTGGCCAGGGCGCGTGAAAGCGCCCCGCACTGATTAGGATGCACAAGTCCGTCTGGGAGGCCGCCAGCGAGCCCAGTCCAGTCGGCCCCACCACAGCCCGCGGCCAGCAGCAGGGGCCTTGTCCCACCGACAGGGCCTCCCGTGCACTTGGCTCGGACCGGTCCCGAGTGCAGCACTCGCCATTTCCTGCCGGCGGGGGGGGGCGGCGAACGGTTATTCTGCCCGATGGCTCTGTCCTTCCCCGGAGTCGCTGGCCTGCTGTTCACCACCGCCGAGGAAGGAACTCGTTCTTTTCGGTGAGTTTAGAAACTTGGTTAAAAAGGCCCTCTTTTTCTTGTTTTGATTTCCACAGAAGCTAAACACAGAAGTGTCCTCAGTATTTCGGTATTTTTTGTAAAGGACTGTACAAGCTACTTTCCGGTCTGATGCCTGGAAGAGTCCACTGGTTTCGCAGCTTAGAAAATCACCCCGCAGACCCCGGCCTCAGGCTCCGCATCGCATCTTTTTATCAAGAGTATTTGATTTTCTCTGGAAACCATTTCCATCCCAAATTGGACATTAAGAATGTTGCCAAAACGTTTACTTTCACGTATTAATAATAAGAAGGTCCTAATGAAGAAATAACCAGGCACAGTGTTGAATCTCTTCCCACTTTCATGGGACTAAAACTTTTGTGAATGAGTTATCATCCGGGGGAGGGAACAATGACTTCGTCAGGAGCCCATGCTTCCGGGCTTCCTACAATGAACACGTCCTGCTCTCAGGAAGGAAGGGGGGAGATCTAGGTCTGAAAGACCGATACCGGCCCAGAAGAACTCTCCTCATTGAGGACCCGCTACATCATAGCAAACATGGATCAAGAACTGCAGAGAGAAAAGTGTGTAATTTCCTGCCTGCTGGTTTTTTAACTTTGTACTGAAAACTGAAAGTGAACACCAAGAGAGAAGTCCCACATACACATGACCCCCTCCATAGATCTGGCCCCCAGGCCTGCCCCTCGGTGGCTGCGGGGCATTCGCAGGGACTCCAAGCTGGCCAGCGTGGGTCAGGGACAGGGCGCTCCTGCTGGTCTTCCCCGCACGGCCCCTGTCCTCGCCCCACACGGGGCACCCGACCCTCCCGTCATGGCCTCACAGAGTTGGTGCAGATTTCCGCCAGGGCGCTTTATAACAGAAACCCACTCCATAATTTGTCATATGAAACGGCGCCCAGGAAAGACACAGGGTGGGCTACCCAGGTATTCCTGGCATTAGGCCACAACTCAGGGCCCAGGACGCCCACGGTCCTGCTCCCTGATTACCGATGAGTCGGGAATTCAGGATGTGGCAACGTGTTTAATGGAAAGTCAGCTATTAGCATCTTTTCCATCTTAGACGTAAAACAGAGCAAATAGGGCATTAACAGCCCCGTCTGCATATTTTTCTAATCTAAAGAGAAAAAACATTTTCAGGGAAAGCAGTGAAGTTGACAACTGGGCAAATGATGAGAGAGTAGGGGGAACACTTCAGATCACCCTTGAGGGCGTCAGGAGGCCCCTCAATCACAGATGGACGGCTTGTTGATGTTGTAACTGGGGTGGAAGTTGAACCGGTCGTAGGAGGTGATGTAGTTGTCGGGACCCGTCACAATGCTCTTCTCCATGCAGACGTTGAAAGTATTGTTCTGGAACATTCCAGTAGCTGCAAGTTGTCTGGAAAATTTGTTCGAATTTGGATAAAATACTTTCTGGAAGTGAAAAGGGACACTCGGATTAATGGGGCGTGGGAACACCCCTGAGCAGTCAGCCACCAGGCATTTCTAAGAAAAGTAAGAATTTGCAAGAATCTCTGTTCCCAGGAAGCAGAGAGGCGGGGTGGGCAGGATGGCCCAGTTCGCCCCGGACCATCCCAGTTTATACCCGATGTCCGGGAATAATTGCTGACAGTGCCTCCGTTCACCCTGGGTGGACAGAAGGATAATCTGCGGGCCACCTGCGCCACGCGACGCCCGGGGTTCTGCTCCTGCCGCTATGCCACCAGACAAGTTACTGGACCCCTCTGAACTTTGGTGTTCTCTTCTGTAAGAGCCATCCGTGAGTTTCAACCCTGACTGCAGGTTTGACTCCCTTGTAGAGCTTTAAAACGCCTCTGATGCCCCCACCCCACCAGCCCAGGGGCGTGGGGAGGCGCTGCCCTCGTAGGGGGAGGCCCCCAAATGGGTGGCCCTACTGTCCTGGATATCCAGGGGATGCTTGTGCTGGTCCACCTGGGCCCAGGAGGGGCATCAAGAGGGCTTTAGAAGGGGGTTCTAGACCTCCAGACTGTGAAGTCAATCTCAAAAAGGGGGTGGGGATTCCCCAAAGGTGCACAGATCCCCACATCCACCCATGTACCTTGTGCATGCAACCTGAGATTTGGGCCAGTACTGCCTCTTAAGGTCACAAGTGAATTACAATCAAGTATTATTCCAGAAAGAAAGCAGCTGTTCACTTGTTTGCCTCAGAACTCACTGACCTAAGGTACCAGAGGTGGTGGTGTCTACCTGTGAAAGAGGCCAGTCTTTTGGGACATCTTAAGCCAGTCTACACGCACCTTTTTCATCCTTAAAAACATTTCATTGTTGAAGTTGCTCGCTCACTTATTTCTACCCTGCCCTGTTTGGAAAGGATTTGATGTGCCCCCTCCGGCTTTGTGATGTTGGAACTTTGGGCCCCTCCCTGCCGCCCCCTCATGATGTGTTGCCCTTTTGAGAAATCCAGGGTGGTGGCCTCCTCCTGGAGATGTTCCATGACACACACACACACTTCCCACGTACCGGCATCTCGTGCACAGTGGGGGCTCTGCTCCCATAAGCTTGGTTACTGGTCCTGTACACCGAGACAGGCTCCTTGGTCCTGGCGGATGAGAAACACCCTCTATTTTCCATTCAGTTATTCTAATGCTGCCCAAGCCACAGCCTTAGAATATTTTGACAGAGCTGTGTTGGGAATGCCACAGGTTGGCAATGCGGCTGTGAACGTGGGCTCCGTGGGACTCAGGTTCAGCCTCCCTGCCTCCTCTGCTCACCTCCACCCCTGCTCTTCCCAAGGCAGGGCAAAGCCTGAAAGAACTCCTAGATGGCAAATGCAGCCCTCAACCCTGGCAGGGCCTTGGCACATGCTGTAATGTTCTGGGTAGATGGGTAGGTCAGAAGCGGTGGCTCAGCCTCCACACCCTGCCACTCGGGGTGCGGGGGGGGGGGTCCCTCCACTTCTGAGCCTCGTGCAGAAAACATGCCTACAGTCTCTGATGCTGACACAGAGTTTAACCGAGTGGCTGTGGTTCAGAGGTCAGCTCTGCCTTATGCCACCGGATCTTGGGCAAGACGCTATCCTTCCACGCCCCAGCTGTCTCTCCTGGAAAACAAGGATAATAATGACCCCCGTCCCCAGGACTGCAGAGGAGACTAGGTGAGGGAGGGCAGGGCAGGTGTGGTGAAGGGTTTACTACTATGTATGTCTAAGGGTTTGCAATGAACAGCTCGGGTTGCCAGATTCTCATTCGGCAGAGGCTCCTCTCAGTCAAGAGACAGGAGACTGATCCCCCCACAAAAGCGTGGCGCTGGGCCCAGTAGCGGGCTGTGGGACTTCCTGGCCACCCCTGCCCTTCCTGCAGTGACTGGAGCCACCTCCCCCCGCCCCACACCCCACGGCTGGCGCTCCTGCAATTTCAGGCACTTTCTCGCTCACTGGGTGCTAACAGCTGACCCCGCGTTTGACTTGGGCTCCAGGGCAGGCTGGAGACCTGGGGACTCCTGCATCCGAGCCTAGTGAGCAGAGCCGCCACTCCAGCCCCTGCGCGGGCCAGGTGGCCCCCGACGGGACTCCGTCCTCACCCGTAGCCCCGAAACCACGCCGGGTTGTTGAACCTGGCCGGCAGGTCCTCGTCCACGCGGTAGTAGTCGCTGGTCCTCTGCGGGGGCGCGGGAGCCGGGGGCGTGGGGGCCCCGGGCTCGGCAGCCACCGCGCACTCTCGGGGGCTCTCCTCCGACATGCGCGGGTCCTCCGGGGCTGCGGTGGGAGACCGCGGGAGGCGGGGCGGCGTCCCGTTGCCAGGCGACGGCCGGGTCATCTGACCGGGCGGCCCCGCCTTAAAGGCGCCGCGTCAGGCGGCCGTGGGACCACTGGCCGCTCTTGCGCGGGGGCGGGTCGCGAGCACGGCCTCCCCCCCCCCCGGTCCCCTACACGCAGGGGGACCCCAGGCCTTGGGCTTCACCGCGAAAGGCCCACTCCCAGCTCCACATGGCCGCTCACTGCATGCCTGGGCGCCCCCGGGCCCGGACGTCTTGCAGACTCCAGATGCGCCCAATCTTACGGGATGCTCCTTGGGAAAGCGGCAGGTTGTACTGGACTGGCCGCAGGTGAGGAGGGCCCCCACGGAGACGGCGGCTCGTGCGGGGTGCAGGGGCGAGCTAGGGGACAGGTTGGGGAGACGCGCTCCCTCACACCCCGCACTCGCCCCGACCCCAACCTGTCCCTCCTTCCTCGCGTGTCCGTGGCGCCCCGGCCGGCGGCTGGCCGAAGTCGGGCTCGTGCACCCCTGG